TTGATTAGTTAATGTTGACAAAAGCTTTGTTAACGAAGAGAATAAACTTATTCCACTTGTTAAACTTACTTAAATGGTCATAATAAAGTGTTACCAGGTTTCCGCCTGGAGCATGTCTCTGCAGGTGTCTACGCTATATACGCGTCTTCTCCAGACTCGTACATCAAGTGCGGTTAGTGTTTCCTCACTTTGATCACTCTACCGGAGTCAGGGTCTACGTCAATTCCACTAGTGCATGAGTGACAATAATTCCTAATCAAAGATATATTCTCCATATCTACAGTCTACAGTGTTCAGTGTGAGTTGATGAAGTTTTTGTCTGATTGAAGTTAATCAATACTCTTCGATTAAATACCTATTTTAAACTATTGACTTCAACTATTGTTCTTTAGCGCAGTTTATATAAATTTGTGATTCCATTTGTGATTAAACAAGAAAGACTAAAGTACTAATGTATCTCTCTTGCTCTATCTTTTTCTGTTTTTCTCTGTTCTCCTACACTAAGTAACACAATTGATGAGGTTTAAGTAAGTCTACTGGTCCGTCGTAAATATTGTTATTAACAAAAATAAGTATTATTATTATTTTTTATTTTAAAAAATAATTTCACGTTTCATTTGTCTAATAAATCACTACTTGCCAACGAGATACACACGTTAAGATATTATATCTAATATTTAAAACAAAACATGTGCGTTTGGTTTCTAGTTACTTTATCACAGCGTCCGTCCATTGCCCTTTTAAGTGTTAATATTAGTACTTAAGAAAAAGAAAACAAAACAACAATTTCTTTTTGTAAAAATAACAGCACACAACCTACAAAAAATAGTACAAAATAACATCAGATACTTATCGTATTGCATCTGAGCTGTTGCTTTAATTTAATTCCTACACTTCAGAAAGCGCCAATTGGAAACTGGAAAGAAATCTATTAAGCATGTATTTTTTTTTTAGTTTGTTCTTATGTCAATTTATTTTCTCTGCATATCGTTTCTATATTTGTTTAACGATTTTAACACCTGCTGTTTCCATTTACATCAAAAATAAACATATATGATAATGCATTCTTGTTCACCGACACTACGTGAGTTACAATAAAATCTTGATAACAAGTAGCAATACTAAGTACATGTCTTAAAAGTAAATAATTTACATTATAGTTGTACATATATGTAAACAAAAATTATGTATTAATTATTTGTTTTCGAATCATTTTCATATAACTTATTCATTTTAATTCAAAAAGTCTGAGCTTCTCACATAGCACTTTTGCAAATACTCGTTGCTAATTTATTAACTCGGTATTCTTTAAATAGTATTTTCGGCAAAATTCGCTACTGAAATGACGCATTGGTGAATGGTTCTAGAGCTATATTACTATACATTGAAACGTGATGTTTTGAAGTTTGGTGTAAATAGAATTTATCTCTCTAACGTAATACTTCAAAACTATTAGGTATTCATTTAACTTGTTAAATCAAGAAAAAGTCACTATATTATATTTTGAAGGTCAAGTTATGAAGTTTGTTAGTTAAAAAATACAGCTGTTCTTATTGGTACAAAACTATAGTTGAAGAGCAAATAGTACACGGTTAAGCAAGCACTAAGTTAAATACTTATGTTTTCTTGCTCTTTCTTTTTAGCTTATATAATTTAACATTAGCTAAATCTATTTTGGTACATATCTGCCATACAAAAGCAACTAGTCCCACTCTGTTGTAATATTTTTTCAATAGTAGTAGTTTTTGGTGCATTGATATAATTTTAATGCACTTGATATTACTACGCTAAAATTAATGTATCAATTTCTTTCAAGTTCATAGTTTTTTACAGTTGATATTCCCTGTTAACTTGAATTTTACTATATATTAAAATTTAGGATGAAATGCACTGTTATATTCATATTACCCTATATAACGTTTAGATATGGTACTTCAAAGTTAACAATGTCTAAGATCTAACATTACTATTTAGTTTCTTTGCCAACTAGTAAGCAAAAAGAAGTAAGATTAATATTCTATGTATATATTTTTTACTAGTTTGTTTGAGAAGTAATAGTTATAATTGCTTATTAATTTTAAAAAGAATTGAAAAGCTTTTCTTAAGTATGTAACTGGTATTTCAAAATACCAGTTAGATCTAAGATCTAACAATTTTCAGTTATTTTTCTATTAATTATTATTATTATTTCTATTGTTCTATTAAAACGCATAATTTGATTAAAAAATTGCATTCTCAATTTGTTTCAATTCTACAACTAAACAGAGATAATTGAAAGTTATAGATTTCAAGACCACGGCAAAGCTTTTGTGCCTGAAACTGTCCAATCTTTGAACAGTTTTTTTAGAGAGAACTTTTTAATATAGTTTTTGTTAAAAAGAAGGCTGTATTGTTGTTGTGTATGTCCTTTGAGAGAAAACTTTTTAGTATAACTTTTTTTAAGGGAAACGCTTTGTTGTTAGAGAGAACTTTTAATATAGCTAATATATTTGTTAAAGGACAGACTCTATTCTTCTTCTGTTTCTTCAACAAAAAATTAAGTTCTTTTTGTTCTTTAAATTTCAATTGTAATATTAGAAAGAAATTAACATAGCCTTCAAATTTTTATTTGCTATGAGCTTGAATTGACATTGATAGGGGTTATTCAATAGGGGTTATTAATAGTCTTTCATGGTTATGCTGGATATCTTTATCATTTAGTTATCTCTGATTTTACCATAATATTATGTCTTATACTTACTTATTCATGTCTTTCATGCAGTTTTATGCAGTTTTATGCAACAAGAGGTTTTGAGTAAGCTTTTTAAGCTACTATCTGTGCTATCCTAATGATTTGTTTTTCTTTGCCTACTCCATAGTATTATGTATGGAACATATTTATTAATGTTGTTTATGATCATGCAGTTATTAGGATCGTTTCGCTAGTACAGCATTATTCTATTTTAATCATTATATATAAATATACTACATTATTTTTATAAATTTATAAGTGCAATTTTAAATGTTACACATTCACTTCAATCATTTTATTTAATATTTATTTAATATATACTCTGGTTTGGTTTGGGTTTCTTCTTCTATCTATTAAGACTTGCTTGCATTTCTTCTCACTTCATTTGTTTCCCTTACGCCTCATATGTCTAAACTCAACTTGAACACATTTTTTTCTCTTTCAATTATAATGTGTGTTCATTTAACAGCTGTTAACAAAAAATTTGTTAAATTAACTCCCCTCTGCACTATATTTAGAATCTTCCATCACCGTTTGTGTATACGATCCTCACGTAATCCTGCTTCCTGTTCGTATTCTTATTGCAGCTGATATAATTTTCTCACTTGTCGTCCCTGCTCACTAGCAACGTTCCTCTTTGTTCAACATTGCTCGACACTTCGAGAGTCGTACATTGCCCTTTAAAGAATATGTCTAGATGTGTAGCATATAAGGATATGCAACCACTTCGTTTGTTCCTTTCTATTTCTTCCTTTCGAATATGAAGAAGTACCGAAGTACCTCTTTTCATGTTGAGGTTGGGTTTTTTTTTATTTTCCTGCGTCCGATTAACCGATTAGTTACGTACAAGCGAGTTACTCCTATCGCGCGCATTTGTTTGATCGTGTGTTCGTGTTCAAAAACAAATTCTGCTTAAAGCTTAATTCATTTAATAAAAAATAAACATCAATTAATTAATTGGTTTTTTTTTTTTTTTTGTTTTTATATTTGATGTGACTTCTAGTTTATATATATGAAATAACCAAAATTGCTTAAAATAGTTTTAATATTTAAATCAATAAAACGGTACGCAATTAAAATCGTTCACTAAAATGTTTCAATTAAACTCAAAACACCAAAAATATCTGAAATTTCCAAATCAACAAACTTAACACCAGCAACAACATTAACATCATCATCAGCAACAACACAACAACAACAACAACAACAATATTAATAATATAATAACAACAACAACTGTATAAATTTGGCATTCATTTCTTAGCAACAAGCGAAGCAACCACAAAATCCGTGGTTCGAAGCGGCGCTTGCCATAAAAGAGAGTTTTGAGAACTCCTTGAAGAGTACACAGCACAAATCAAAAAGGTGCATAGGTGCATTGGTGCATTGTTGCATTGTTGCTGTGCAGCAAATGCGTTGGGTGCTCATGCTGAAAATCAACAAAAATCAACAAAAACCAACAAAAATCAACAAAAACCAACAAAAATATATATTAATTATTTGAATTTTATGAAGTTTACAAACAAACAAAAAAAAAAATACAAAAAGTAAAGTAATTAAAGTAACAACTAAACTAATAAATAATTTACTTAAATAAATAAGAATATATGCATGTATAATATATAAAAAAAAAAAATTTTTTTTAATAAGTAGAAATTTAATAGTAGTAACCAAAAACCTCATAACCTTTATATATAAAAAATAATTAAAAAATTATAATAAAATAAAATTAGTAATACAAAAACCAACAAACACTTTATTGAAGCCAATCAACTTGGTTGCCTCGTATTTTTAATAATATATATACGTAAATTACATATACATATACCTACCTATATGATACACTACTGCATATTATGTAGTAACATTTATTCTAAAATATGTAATTAGAAAAAAAGTATACTTAAGCAAATTATAGTTTAAAACATACACAGAGTGTACATCACTGCATAATTCCAAATAATCTAAATAACTTGAATTGAAACAGACATTAGATTTTTTTACAAACGAATCTGGTGAAAACTAAATGTCTAAACTATTTAACCTTATAATATATATTAAAGTATACGAGTAAAAAAAATATTTAATACATAAAAAAAGAAGAAAAAAAAAAATAAAATATAAAAAAAAACAAAAAAAAAATAATAATACATAAAGAAGAAAAATAAGAAAATTAATTAATAAAAATCATTAGATTTAGATAAAATTAAAAACGAAAAATACTCAGCAATTGCTGCAAATTAATATTACAACAAAAAATTTCCAAAATTTTGCAATATCACAAAAAAAAAAAAAAACCAATTTAATACATGAGATCTACAATTCAAAAAATCAAATCACTACTAAAAGCAATCAGCACCTGTTAAATATATACATATATATATGTCTATATATGTATATGAATATATATGTATATTATTCTACAATAAACATCAATCAAAACTATTGTATAAACAACAGCAGCAACAACAACAACAACAACAAAAATTATAATTAACAAACAACAAGCAACAATAAAATAACTTCAACATTATAAAAGACCACCACAGCATGTCTGAAAGCATTCAGCCTACAGTCCTAGGAAATAGAACATACTAAACTCCAATGAAATGGATATGAAAAAGATATCAAAACCACGGTAAGAATACTAATCTAATATAAAGTTTTTAATAAAATAAATCATTAAAAATAATTGTATATAAGAACTGCGATATTAGTTTATTGGATGATATATCTTATGATAAGATCTTATGATATGATATATATCTAATCTGTTGATATACTATGTAATTTATTACTTGTTAAATGTTTCAAAAAAAAAAAATCCAAACACTTCTTAGATGTATATTGGGCTTAGATGTTTAAACCCAATATATGTTATCCATACATGGTTTATAGTCTGATTGTTCTCATATAAAGATAGTTGGAAACAATTTATTAGATTATTAGATATTATATGATAATGTATTATGTGATTTAATGCTTGTGTTAGTACATACAGTTGGACGGGAGGTTAGAAGACGTTACTGGAATAAATCTTCAAACACTACTTATGTAGGCATTTGACTCTATTTTATTCTATTTTATCAATGATTGGTTTATAGTTAGCCATATTAACATCATAAAAGTTAGTTGGAAACAATTTGTTAGATTAATATCTAATAATTATCTAATAAAAACTCAATTTCTGATATTGTTAATTTAATTGACAAATATAATAAATGAGAAGAAGGGAGAAAGAAAGAGAATATATTTAAAATATATTCAATAAAAACCTATAGGTTAGGTTAAATTATACCGGCGATCCCTAGGGGATCCATTAAGGCCTATTGGCCCATTATGTTACCATAAATAGAGGAATACAAACCTAATGAGATGATAAATATGTTCGTACATATAACTCTGATCGACTGTTAGGGCCATGTTATGCAGAGTGTCTCGGGCACGACAAAATTCGCTCTTTCGGGCTATGCCGAAAATGCATGTTATGCAGAGTGTCACATGAGTATTGCCAATTTTGCATTTTTACTACGTCTTGGTTGTGCCTAAATTTAAAAGGTAATTTAAATATGCTCACTTTCAATTTGCCACCAAATATAACTAGCAAGAAAAAACTCATAGAGGCTGTAATTTATAATTACATTATCTTACAATAATTGTTAACAGTACTTACGCCTTTCTTTAAAACTGGAAAGTGTGATTATTATATTATTAGCGATTTATAAAAAAAGGCTGTGTTGCTTACTGCCATTTTTTCTCCAAAACGTATTAGAATTGTAGTAATTTGTCCTAAAAGGCGCAAATTTTGAAATTTATTACTAAACAACACGGTTTTGCATTAGTGCCGGGGCACGAATACGCCGGCTCTCATTTTAATAAATTGATGTTATAGATTAAATTTAAGTATTTTCTACCGAGGTAAGGGCTTAATATTTTTGGCAGATTTTTTATCCGTGAATCTAATAAATTATTTCAATAATTCACTATAATAGACTATCTCTCATTATCTAATATTATATATATTAGAGTAGGCTTGTCTTTCTTTTGTATCTAAATTATGTATATATTTCTAACTCGTAAATCTAGTTGATAAATTATTTAGTGTTTGTTATGTGATGGATTGTCTTTGATAAACTGAAATTACGATTTCCAATAGAAATAAAGTATATAAACTTCGCTTGATCAAAATTGAAAACTTGGCTTAAAGTAAATCTAGTTTATATATAATTCAACTGATATACCTATTCCTCTATCCATGACATAAACTGGCACGTACAGTGTAATTCGGCTAGTGTCCAGTTTTTATTTTTCTCGTAAAATACGTTATTATTTAATTTGCAGTTAACTTAAATCACTTATGGTATCTCTTATTCGCATAAGAGCAATTGCACTAATATTATTAGATCATACGTCTGTTGAGATATAATAACACTGACTAATTTAATGACTATACAAACATAATTAGGCAACGTTAGGTGTAAACTGTTCTTTATAATCGTTTTGTATGTATGAAAATATATGTTTCCTTATTTGTTAATTAAGAGTTAATAAGAGTTACTTACCTCATCAAAAAAGTTTGAATTTAGAAGCTATATTTATCATTTCAATTCACCCCGTTTTTTATACATTTTATTTTTGTTTTTAAAAATAATTTCAATAAATAGTTTACTCATAGTAAGACTATCAAGTAGTCTCAACATTCATATACAAATCTTTTAACACATATAGTAAAATTATGGAAAGGGAAAAACATTTGTAAATTAAAAAATAATACTAGAATTGTAGGAACAAAAAGTAAATATAAATTCAATAAGAAATACTACATATATACTGTAATCCCCTCTATAACGCGGTACTCTTATAACACGTTTTCATATTACGCGATTTCAATCCCTCGTATAACACGGGCATTCCCACATATAATGCGGGGATTTGTGCAGTTCATAATTGACTTCCCGTACTTTTGCACGTGTGTATACGGGAATACTCCCTAATACGCCTATAACGCGGAACCAATAAGATAAATCTGTTAATAAAAATGTTGGTATGTAGGTATTATAGCAACTTTTTCATTATACATAGAAACATGAATTACCTAATATCTGTACTATTAGTTTAAGTTGGTTAACTATAAGTTGTCAAACATAAATTAGCGATATTCCTTAGCAATGTTCGTTACACATATAGTGGATATAGAAGTAATTCTATTGATATATTCATATTGATTAGGGACTTTGTACTTTTTCCAGAATATCCCATATCTATCATCATTAGATTGAATATAACAAAGTGTTATATTCGTTTCTTGGGATTGTGCATATAGAGGTTCACATATTATAAAGTTTGTACACGTAGATAATCCAGTATCGTCTGTTTCTGTTTTTTTCCATGCCCTTATTTTTTACTAGGAGTTTTCGACAAAAAATTGTTATTGTATGATTAAAACTTACTCATAATCACTCATATCTAATTCCAAATAGCTATTTTGAATAGTGTTTTATCATGACTGGCCTAATTCTACTTTCTTTTCATATTGAGTTATAGTTTGTTTTATTTTCAAATTGTACCTAAAAGTTTTCAATATCCGTTTTATTAATCAAAGAGGTTTAAAATATTTTTATATATATTGTATATTAGATAATGAAGCACTTGTTATTGCTCTTTGAGAATGTTATCACCATGATAAAATAATTAAAACTCTAATATATAAAGTGTAAAATTTTTTTGTTTTTACATCAAATACATGTATGAAAGTAGCTATGCGGGTTTTATATATAATGGTTTTCGATTCGATTTTCCTCACGTGGCCTCAACACAATACTTCATCCAATGTGTTAGCATATGGAATATTTAATATATAACAAAACATAAAATCCAAAAAAAAAAAAAATAAGTATGTATAACAAAGCAAAAAAGAAAGTTGTGGAAATGATATGACCTTAAACCAAGCGGAAATTGCTTAAAGTGAAATTTATAACTTATGTCATAAATATTAAAAAATCTAATAAAATTTTTATAACCCGAATGACATAAAACATTTTCCCAAGGAAGAATGTTCTTTCAAAAATAATTGAAATAACTAAAAACTGTTCAATATAAAGTGAATTATTTAAAAGTTAAATTAATATAGTAAAATCATCTCAAAAGAAAAAATAATCGTAAAAGATTGTAATATATTTCATTAATAATATATATGAATATTTTTGACTGTTCTTTGTTATATATAAATATATCAGAGACAGAGCTCTAAAATTATTCACTAAAGTTAATACGCTACTTAACCCTGCCCTAACAATCCTCAAGTCCACTTCTGGACTCTCAGGAAGATATGCTGATTTAAAGTCCGTCATCAACTAAAAAACAAATAAATTATATGATTTCAAAACCTAGTGTGGGGTAGAGATAAGCCCCCCAGCCATTATAGAGTAAAAGTGCGTAATAGCACTAACTCAAGAAAAAGAATCAAGAAGAAGAACATATAAAAATTTTAATCTTTAAACTTAATATTATTCTCTATCTGTAAGGATTTTGTCACAACTGACAAACACCCTAAACTCTATAGAAATTGAGGAATCTCAGTTTTTCGAAACGTAGATTTCGGAAAAATTGACTTGCGGTTGATTACGCATCTTGATTTTTGATTCAGATACAAAGTTGTTAAATTTCATGTTAGATTTTATTAAATTGAATAAATACTTTTATAATCACTTGAATAGTTAATATTATTTTATTACATATGCTCTCTACTTTTTAATCACACATATAAACTTGAACAGGTCCTTGCTTTCTAGAAATAGAGTGCTAAAATTATTACTAAAATAAAAGTTAAGATAATGGAATTGTGATAAATATAGTACGACGGTTAATTTTTGCACAGAATTACATACATATTCTCAGCTATAGTTTTACCTTGAATGATTGGGTGTTTATAACGTCTGCTGCTGGAATAGAATATCTTGATTATTTTATTATCAATGGTTAAAAACAGCTGAAACAATGTATATTCAGAAACCAGTAAAAATAGTTTAAATTTATTTGTTTTATCCGATAAGACCCCAACTATAAAAAATCTATAATATCCATAAAATGATTTTACAATTAGTTTAAGCTTTAAATCAATTTTAAGTTATTAAATATTTTGTTACTTGATGCCAGATGTCCCTACTAGGCGTTTACTTGGTCCAAGAAAAAAATTTAAATATTATAAAATTAAAGAGAGATGAACGATTAATAATAATTAATAACTTATTCAAATTGCTTAAATTATGTAGCAATTTTTATTAGCTATGGCTAATTAAATATATATTAATTAGCACTTTTTTGTCCATTGTTGTGCTTCAGAAACTCATTTAACTTGCCTCCCTTCCGAATAGTGAAACCTCGACAAAGTTTTTCTGAACACATGTGTTTTCAGATAAGCTTTACGGCGTATTTGATCATTGAGGGGCCTATTAACCCATTAAGTACCAGGCAATTTCAGAGTTGAATCTGTACGGTGAAATTTCTATAGTAAAAAGTAAAATAATACAAGTTTAAGTAAATGTGAATAGTTAAATATTTATTTGAAAGATTACTTCTCACTTCATTTTTACCTAGAGAGTATAAAATATTCTTTGAATATTAAAAAATATTCAAAAC